GGGAACGGTGCATCCGTTTGAGAAGTGGAGGAGGAAGGCAGGGAGGTGGGGGTGGTGAAGATTGTTCGCAAGCTGTACGGGTGAACTGGCTGGGAAATAGGGGTGTGCAGCGCCGCGTGTCCTCCGTCAGGCCGAGCGCTGCGCCTGGCAAACACCTCTACACCGCTGGTGGGAATAGATGTGAGGGTACGACTCGGCTCTTGGCGACAGCGTGCGGTCTGGGAGCGTTTGGTGGGTTTTCTCCATCAGCCCAGGCTTCCGTTTGCTGTAGATATTTCAGGTTAGACTTGGAAATTTAGAGGACTTGAAAAACTGATGCTTCTGGCTTTGGCTGTCCCTAAAAGGAGTTAACTGAGATGCCAAGGGACGCGTAGCAAGACACAGTTGCACCTCTTTTCATTGCGTTAAGCCTTGCAGGACCCCAGTCGTGCTGCAGCTCTCCCAAGAATTCAGGCTGGCGTAGCTCGTGCTGCTGGAGCGGCCAGGCTGGCACCAGGGATGTCCTGGTACGGCCATCTGGGGATGCTCACCTGAAGTTTCTCCAGCTGCAGGGCTCGAGCTCGGCGTTGCACGGTAGTTTTTGTTCACAGTGGGCTCCGCAACCGCAGGAGTTCCTTCTGCTTGTGCCCAGCAAGAGGGGACTAACGGTGAGAGCAGACCAACGGGGGGGGAGGTACCGTGTCAGCCGGCATCTGTGCTTGGGTCGGAGGGAAGAGAGAAGTAGGATTTGGTGAATGCGAAGCTCGGGAGGGGATGGGTACGACTGCTGCCCGGCAGGGGACAGCCTGGCCTGGAGCCCACCTCTTCACGGCCGGTCGCCGCTGGTCCCGTTGGAGCGGACGGAGGGGGACGGGAGCGTATGTCGTAGGCAAAGGGATGGCACGTGGCTGGAAAGTGCGAGGAGCTGGCTGTCCTGGTGAGGTGACTCTAAACACTCAGGACGCTTGTTTGCTGGTGGGTGGTGTAGCGATGCGGGTCGGTCAGTGGTTTGATCCCAGTGTGCGCAGGCACGGCTGGGCTAGGTCTGTGTCGATGAGCACTGGCATGGTCTGGCAGGAATTTGCTCCTCCAAGTCTGGTTGTAGCCCAGATTAGTTTGGAGGTCGGATGCGGGGCCAGACTGTGGCCTGCAGTGCTCAGCGAAACATCCAACCCTCGTTCCTGCGTACAGCGTCATGTCCTGTGCTGACCAGCATGTGTTACTGAGATAGTCTTGGGGTGATGGGGTCAGAAGTCTGCTGACGCCGATCTGAAGGGGCAGCTGTTGCCTGTGGTTTGTGGTACCCCGTGTGGCTCGTGAAAAATCCCGTAGCATCAGCTAATACTTGGCGCCGGGTTGTGAACTGCCAGTATCTTCTATTCCAAGGTATGTCTCCTGTTTCCGATGTGTGCGGCGAGTTCCCCCGAGGATGGTTGCGGCGGGATCCTGGCATCTCGTCCTTCCCACGCCTCCTCTGACCAGCTCTGTACGATGCGAGGGCAAAGCTGTGTGGAAAGCATCCCTGCGGCCCACGCAGACCCTCCTGGGGACAGGCGCTGGTCACAAAAAGCATCGCCTGAAAGCTCCTGCGGTTCCTGCCCTCTGTACCCAGCCCTGGCGCTGCGTTTTGTACTGCTGTAATCTTTGTGTGCTCCCCTTCTCCAGACCTGATGTCTTTCTACCATCTGCTGCTTTCTCTGCGCATTGTTCTTTTGATTAATGTTTTAGCTGCACATGTAGAGTTGCCTTTCTTTGACCGAATGTCCGAATGTGATATATTGTATATTTTAAAGTATTTACCCTATTTATATACTACACGTTACTGTTAAATAAATATAAGTTCCATTATCCCTAGGGGCGTTTTATTCAGGGCTGTCGGCGAGGGGGGAGGATGCTGAAAACCCCCTTTCCCAGCTCTGTGAAGCAGGTGGGTCCGTTTTAAACGGAGATTCCCCCATTGCTTGCCCCCACAGCATCCTTCCTCGGGGATCTCCCCGAGAGCAGACCTGGTTGTGGCAAAGACACACGCGGAGGCTGCAGATGGGCTGAGCACGCAGGCAGGATTGGACCCTCTGTGTTCTGCACGAGGGACCCGAACGGCTGCGTCTCCAGGGCGGTTCGTAGTGGAAGCTGTGATCGGATCGTACAGGCCCATCTTGATCTGAGCTGAGGGAAGGGTTGGCACTGCTGCCCTCTCTAAATCAGCTCATTTTACCCTAAAGATTTCATAGGGAATGCGTAAAATTGTTGGAGCTGCGCTTAGCACAAGTTGTTGCTTCATTTCAGCCATTTCTCCTAGCCTGTCTGGGGTTAGGAGAGCAGAGTCCCCCTGTTTACCCAGCAAACATACAACTTTTAGCTCTCGTGTTATTTTGGCTAGTTTTGACTTACCGGCTAAGCCAAACAACCCATCAGTAGCCCTCTTTGTGCTTCCTGTCACACCGCGTGGCCATTTTCAGACGAACTAATCCAACAACAACATACGATGCTCCTCCTCATCGCAACCTCGCAAAATTACTCTAAACCCCCAAATCTCACGTTGCAGGACTTCGCCCCCGGAGGAATCGGCCAGTTAAGCGGAAAGTTGCTGAGCAGCACCCCGCAATATTCAGCAGTCCTGAGAAGCAATTAGATGCCATTACCGAGAAGTCTCGAAAGATCCCTCGGTCTTAAAATCTTTTGGAAAACAGACTAGGAAATCTCTGGGCAAGCTGCGGGGCGACAACAGGTTTCAGCTGTTCCGCTGACGATCCCTCCTTGTTCCTCCCCATCCTGTGCCAATGTAGTTAAACATCGAAAACTGCAAATTCCCAGTGGAAATCCTGGCGCTAGCTGTGCTCCATCCCCAGAAGGACAGTGAGCCTCTGCGCGAGAGGTCTCGTGCAGTCCTCTGTCCAGAGACATTTTCCGTGACCTCCTGATAGAAGAGGGATGTAAAACCAAACCAAACAGCCTTATGGGCTGAGATTTGTCCTTTTCAAGTTCCCCTGTTCAGGAACAGGCTGCCCGGCTTGATTGCTAAGAAATAAACCCCCCAATCTTGTGATGTCCTTGCCCAAACCTGGAGGCACCCACCAGGTGCCCAATGGAGGCAAGCCGGAGGCACCCGAACCAGCTCTCGGGGCGCTTGCCAGGGGCTGTGTTGGGGTGCCAGAGCGCGCCGAGCTCCTCTGGTGTAGCCACACCGCGTTGGGCTGAATTGCGTGATTTTTGGGGCTAAAACGTTGCTGTTTCCTTTCTCGAGGAGGAGAAAGTGCCACGTGACATCCTGTTCGCAGGGGCAGGCGGGGAGAGGTGGCTCTTCACGAGCTGCTGCCAGGCTTTTGTAAAAAAAAAACCCAACCAAACAGGCTGAAGAGAAAAAAAGAATCAAAATGCATGAATCCCTAGAGCTCCTATAGCTTTCTGCAGGTATTATTAAGAAGAAGAAAAAAAGTGATGCTTCATTCAGGGCTCATTCAGGGCCCTCTGCTCGGGGTACGGCAGAAACAGACTTAATTCAGGCCTTTTGGCTCCAAAGCGGGGTGTTGGGTTTAATCTGGTTCAGGCTGGGCTGCTCCACTGCGATAGCACCGCTTTCCACGCCGCCACGTTCCCTGGATGTTCGGCAGCGCAATACGTGAGCCGGGGGTCTCTCAGCTGGCCCCAGTCACTGCTCAACGCCACAAATTCATTTTTCGGCCGTGATTAACCCAGATCGGCCCCGCAGGGTCCACCCTGGCCGTGCTGCGACGGGGCACTCGGCGCAGGCTCCAGCTCCTTCCCTGCCAGGCACGTCCTCAGTTTACGCCACGGCGCTAAAGAAAAAGCCTTGGCAATCGGCTCGGTGCCTCCCGGGCACGACGGCTGAGCTGCAAATCAGAACGGGAACCCGCGGCCGTGTCCTCTTTCAGACCCCTTGTGCTCCCCGTGTCGCTGTTTCTGCTTCTGTTCAGGGCAACTTCCCTCCCTGCAAGGCTTGGGCTTGCCCGGTACGGGGGGAAACGGGGGCTGGAGCTGCCGTGCCCTGCGGCTGCCCTTGCTGCTTTTTGCTCCATTTGGGTGTTTGCGAATGCAACAACCCTTGCCTGCGTTTATCCTGCATCCCAAGAGCTGCATCTCGGTCTGACTGCATCGCTTCGCAGACGCACAGCCATTTCTTTTGCGGGAAACCAGCACGAAATGACACGAGACAGGACACAGTCGCTGTTGTAAGCAGGGAAGGGGGCTTTGCTTGGTGCGGCGATCCCAGTGGGTTCTGCGCCCACATCCCCTGGCCATCACTGCTCTGATACCCGCAGCCTTTCCTCCAAGAGCAGCCTCGTTTCATCCCCATTTTGCTCGTGCCGCTGTTACAAAGCGGGTGTAAAAACCTTCCATCACTCGTGGGAACGTGCAGCGGTTGCAATAAGAAAATGCAAAAGACACCCGGTTTCGCCCGGGCCGTGCACGCGGGGAGGCGTTGGGGGCCGTGCACGCGGGGAGGTGTTGGGACATTCGGAGAGGGCATCCTGCAGCATTTGGCCACCTGAGCCACAGCCTCCTCTGCTTTGCTGCTCAGCAAAACATTTCCCAAAAGTCCGTGCCGGGCTGTGTCCTTCAGCGAGCAATTTTCTGGTGCATCACCCGTACCGAGAAGGACACCCACTTCCTCAAAGGCGACGAGCAGCGCGCCGAGAGCAACCCCGGGGCAGCCACGTTTTGGTGAGGGCTGGGCTGCCGCGTCTCTGCATCAGCCGAACGGGGCGGCAAAAAGGGGGAGCGAAAAAGGGGGCATCACCTCGGGCTCGTCAGGGAAGCAAGACCAGAGCTTCGGGGCAGGAAAGTACTTTTATGGGGTTGTTCTCAGCCGCTGTCAGAGGAGGGAGGAGGAAGTACGTTGGCAAATCAACCCTTGCCGAGCCGTCGCCCTTCGCTGGGGGGATCGCACCCCGGGCGCAGGATCCCCACGGGACTACCAGAGCTTCGTTTCAGCCTGTCTCCTAAGCGAGCCCCCTCGGGGGAAAAAAAAAAAAAAAGAAAGGTGCCCCTCCTGATCCAAAATGTCCCTCAAGCTGCCACGGAACTGGGATTTCAACCTGAAAATGGATGCTGCAAAAATAGGTACCGTGACTGTTTCTTTATGCCCTTCTGTTTCTGCTTCAGCCGTCCAGGTGCAAGCCGGGCTCTGCTGGGGTGCCTGCGGCCAAGCTCGGCAGCGATTTCGGCTCCGGCCCAGACCCGAACCTGCTTCTGGCCTCGGTGGGGAGACGTGGCCCCCAGCTACCGCTTTCGAGGTAGCAGACGGTTTGCAAATGATTTGCAAGAAGTGATTTGCAAAGTTGTCACCGAGGGATGCTGTGGGAGCACGGCCAGGGCTGTGGCTCTGGGGCTGGGGCGGCGGCCGGCTTCGG